TTCCAACCTAAACCATTCTGTGATTCTATGACTACAGACAGGGACCATGTGTTTTCCTGCCACACTTCTCAGGTCCTTACTGCAGTCACAGGGATGGCAAATCTGCAGATGAGGAAGCATCTGTGAAGAGGCCAGAGGTCCACTGGGTTGCAGGGTCCTGTCTTCATGCTCTTACTCTAATCCTGTGTCCTCTGCCGTGCTGATACACAGCTGAAGCTGTGGTCTTCCCAGGCAGTGTTTTGTTGTGTCCATGACTGAGGCTGGTAAAGGCGCGGGGGTAATTTACAGCCAATTTCTAGCGTGCCCATGAGCAGAGCCAAGATCTTTGGTTACAAGCAAATCTGCAGAGAAATCTGGCAGAGCCTAGTGAGGCTCAGGCAGCTGCAATTTCATTGGAAAATACACTGCAACCCGTGAGCCCCTCCCCACCTCCCTCCGCCAAGGGTCATAGAGAAACCAACAAATTCTAAGCTTTTGCAGGCTTAAAAGATTATAATGTGATTAGTGTGGTGGTGAGAGCAAGAGAAGCCCTTGCTGCTGTTGGACTGGAGTCCTCCTCGCTGTGGGGCCATGTGCTGGGAGCAGAGTGCCTGCAAGGCTGCCGGGGGAGAATGGGAAACAGCAGAGGCTTTCTACAAACAGATGGTTAATTTCTTGAATGGATGAGCCAGATGAACTATTTTATATGTTATTCAGGGATGGTTCAGAGAAGGAAGATGTTTGTCACAAGAGAAATCTGTGATTTTTTTCTCTATTAACCATTTATGCCAGTCCCTCTTGGGACTGACTTCTTGGGTCATGGAGAGCATGGATGGAGGCAAAACATGACCCCATCGGTGTGAATGAAATCAGCTGTGTGGCAGAGTGTCTCCACATCACAGAACAAGTCTTAGGGTATGTCTGGTGCTAGAGAAAGCCAGTAAATTGAAGCCTTGTTTGACAGTTAAGATTTTCATGACCTTCTTTCCACTGTCTGATGTACAAAGCAGTTGATACTCTGTTCTGACATCTCCCCCGAGGGAAAGGGATGTCACAGCAGGCTGACAAAAAGGATAAAAGAATATGTGCAGCTGCATGAGTCAGGACACCACAGACAGGTTTGCGATGGGGATTTCTTTTCTAACTTGTTTCTGCAGAGACAGCAAAGGCTGCACACGGGGGAGATGCTGCACGAGACCTGACGCCCCTTTTACAGCCACGCAGCATCAGAAACGATCGGGTAGCTGTTTACCTCAGTGCTAAGCAATAAAGGCAGTAAAGGAAGTTTCTTGTTAGCTTAAAAATGAACTTTGCTCTGTGTTGTAGGCATTTGGCAGACCAAGATCAGCAGCCGAGAAAAGAGACACTTAAGGAAGGAAAGGCTGAAACAAAAAGGTAAATGTACAGGCTGGGTTTACACACCTGATCTGGCTGGGCTTGTCACCCTTTCTCACTTCCCACCATCTTTCTGTTTGCTCTGTTTGTCATTCAGCAGCAAAATCTTTGCACTTACTTAGGCTATTTACTTAGGAAAAGACAGCTTTGGGAACTCTTACTTGGGAGCTTGTCTTTTACTCCAGGCTTTCATTAAAACCCACAGTATTACCCATAGGACTTCGAAAGCAAATGCCTGTTAGATCTGAGACCTGCTAAAGGTTTGGTGTAAGGTGGATTAGTTACTTCTGCGTGACTTGACAGAAGAAGTTTTCTGATAATGGATGTATAAAAACCTGTGTATTGTGCTCAGTTCCAAACAGGTTCTTTAATCCAGGCCTGCTCAGAGTAAACAGCTGTAGAGGGAGAATATACTCTTATCTTAACGAGGCAAAATGAAACAGGGCTTTGTGCTCACTCCACATTTTTCCTCTGGGGATTTCAAAGTGTCTGCCTTGCACTTATGCCTATATACATTTCTTCTAATTATGTTATTGTGATGACTGCATGAAAGCAGGTCATGGAATTGAGGCATTTGGAAATATTTTAATTATCTGTGGTAAAATTATTAATATAATAGACAAATCTGTAAGATTAAAATATTGGAGTGATTTAGAAACTAAGATAGAAGTTTGGGATAGGGAAACACAGCTGGATGAATGTGGCTGTTTGAGCACTGTCTGCAATAAGACTCTCTTAAAGTGCTCTCAGATGCTCTACTAAAATGGAAAATTGGGGTAAGTGAACAGCAAATTTTAATCTAAAAATATACAGACATTTTGGGACCACTTTCTCTGTCATTTTGATTCTATAAATCAAGAGTTGAATATCTGCATGACAGTCTCTAAGGGCTTAAGCTGCTGAGGTCTCTGCTTGCTCTCCAGAAAAGCAGATGGGTCCACATTTGGCTTGATTCCTGTAAGTTGGCTTGTTGGCATCGGTGGTGCCAGCTGCATGTGCAGAAGGTTAACCACGTGCGGTTTAACGCTGAGCCCATGCAGGTGTTAAGTGCTTTGCTGGTCCAGGGTAAGGGAACTCAGCAAAGTTGCAGTTGAAGCACCAGAAGTCCTTGGTGCAAGCCTGGAGCCGGGGTTGTGCAGGAAGTTCAACCAGGTGATCGTAGTGGTTCTGTTTAGTATGGACATTTATAGAGCAGTGAAACGTGCTCTTCCAGGAAGAAGACCAACCCCTGACTAGTGCTGATTGCTGTTTCCTAGCAGGGAAGAAGCAGCAACAGCAGCATTAAGGTGTATGAAGGTGGGGTTGATGCCAGCAGTGGTCCCCTCCCCACCAGAGTCACAGAATGTGACACAAATGGAGTCCTAAAGTTCTTTGGGAGTCCTTTGGAACAAAAGTTGTTGGAAATAATTGTAATTATTTATAATATCCACATGCCTGGCATTGATTTCTCTATCAGCCTTCAACTACCAACATCCAAGAGGTTTACTTTCTTTTTCCTTGGAGGTCCTGCTTGTCCACTTTCTCTCCCTTTACTGCTCTGGGTCCTCAGCTGGACTCTGGAGGCCTTGAGCCACCCTTGCAGTCAGGGAGGGGTGCCCAAGGCCTCTGTGGTGTGGTGTCATCTCTTATGAGATTCACTGCTGGACTGTGTGGTGCCTTCCTTCTCACATGGCCTTCACGTTTGCTGCTTCAGTGTCCCGTCCCAGAGGCTCTGCTTTACTGTCACTGTATCTGTAAATAATTTCAGTTGGAATACAGCCATTACATCTGATGGGTTTAGATCAGGCTTTGCTTTGTTGTTTCCTCTGTCCAAATTCTTCATTGTAACTAAAAATACCAATGACCCTGTGATAATGTTTACTCCTGAGAAGGCCCCAGCAGAGCATCCCTGGGTAGCTCAGCGGTTGAGCCAGCCTTTGACTGGGATGAGAAGGGAGCGGCGTGGCCACTCACAGAGGACACCAGTGGCAGTGGAAAAGGTGCTTCCATTGCCAAGGCAGAGTGTGGGACTGTGCTGCAGGCCTCAGGAGCCATGCGGGAAGAATTGGCAACCTCCCGGTCAGAAGAGGATGTTTTCTCCAATGTGGGTGAGTGTCAACATTCAAGTGTTGCAGAAGGAAAGCTTCATGAATTACTGTGTCCATCAGAGTCCAGCCCCACTGACATTCGTCTTGCACACACACAGTGTTGTCCACCCCTTTGAACACTGCTGGCTGTCATTTATTTTCCAGCAATGTGAAAAGAGAGGTCTTTACAGCAGGAATTTCTTCTGTGTTGGGTGCAAGTTGTTTTCTACCCACAGGCATTTAGTATTTGGTTCCTTTGAGAAGGAACCAAAGCCTTTCCTTCTGAGAATGTTCACGCACAGTCAGAGATAGGCTTCAAGGTTTATCTGTGTGTTTCAGAGCAGTACAAGGCAGGGTATTCCTAAATCAATTTGGGTATTTGGCAGTTGGAAGTAGTCTGTTCATGTCAGTGCTTTGCTCTACCTACATAGATTGTCCAGCTTCCCAGCTGATTCACCCCTTGTTGGTGTACAAAGAGGGTCATTTAGAACTACTTCGAGTCTCAGTTGTGCTGTTGAGACATTCTCTGTGTAACATAAGCTGGAGGTGGGAAACTGCATCTCTGCAACCTCAGACACCTTTAAAACAGTGAAGGGGTGGACTGCCAGGCCATTAGGCTGAAGGTTAGGAGACACTGATATCAGCTCTCTCACTGGTATTTGATGACTTTTCATTTCCATTGTGGTTTAATTTTTATGGCAAAGTTGTGTCTCATGTTGTATTTCTACTGTGGGTAATACTGTAGATTCTAGAGCAATACCAATAATTAATAACTAGGTAGTAATTAGACCTTTATATCTTTCTCAATATCTCTCTTCCTGACTTCTTGGTGGGGTGGGAGAGTTACAAGTTAAAGGTTAGAGTGGTCAATACTGCTTTTTGGATAATTTTCAGAAGCATTTGATTGTCATTACAATCTCATGGAGCAGTTGAGCTTGATGGCTGGATTGATTGGTATATAAGGCTGTATGATGACTCACCTTCAGCAGCAGTAATCCAGTACTCTGGTGATTCATAAAGTGGTCTTAGGTTGCTCTTACATGAGTTGTTTTCTCTGCAAGAATGCTTTTTTTGAAAATTATAGGGCTGATGGGGAGAGGACATAAGTACCATTTTTTACTCTAATACTTGCAAAAAGCCAAATTCCAAGCTGATACATGATGACAACTTCTGCCAGTTGTGCATAAAGGGGACATCAGTTCAGATGAGTAAAGAAGTTTATTAAGTCAAGAGAAGTGCCATGCTGGTGTGACGTGCACTTTGAAGGGCCAAGAAGGTGCACATGTCGACTAGGCTGGAGAGACTGTCTATAGAAGATAATTTCTCCTTGCTTGATTCTTCTTCAGCAACAGCAGTGGCTGCAGGCTTGAGGTGGAGAGAACATGGAAGGTCTGTAATGAGGTTGGGAGTGTCAGGTAGAAGCTGCAGTCACCAGCTGTGAATGTGACATTGCGTTTTGGGTTTACTGTTTGTTTGCTTTTTAAATGCAGGAACATGGGATGTTGCAGAAGTAAAATCCTGTCCTGTGACCTTTGGGACATTATCAGAGCTGTCCAAGGAGTTAGGTGAGTGGTCTTTCTTTGGACGTCTATCTGAATTCTTCTACTGTTTTCTTAGATGCTTGTCTTAAAAGTCGTCTCATTGCTTACATATGGGTCTTTTCCCCTGGAGCCACATTTCATTAGTCCCTCTCCCTTGCTCAGCTTGCTTGCATCTGCAATCCAGCGCTACCAGCATTTTAAGGAGTGACTTCAGAATGTTTTTTTGAGCACTTTCCAAACTTGTGTCTCATCTTGGAATAAATATAAAAAATATTCCCTCCTCAGCAAATTCTTTCCCTGTTAAGTTTACTTGCACAGAAGGTTTCTGGTGTGTTCTGATGACCAACAAATTTAGAGAATTTCAGACTGAGGGAGGGAGCAACCACCCAGGTTAGAGAGGCCCTGCTGCCCAGCCAGCAGCTTCCTCTCCAGCACATCGAGGGATTTTCAGCTTGAGCCTCTCCACGCATGGCCTTGAGAAGGGTGGAGCATCTTCTGGTTTGGCATTAAACCTGAGCCTCGTTTCTGGCCTTCACTTTGCCTCTCCACAATGGTCAATCCTTTTCCCTGCTGCTGGCTCATACACTCTCTGCCTACCAGAAACTCACATTTATCTGGAAGTCCAACTGGCTGATGAATGCAAAGTCTGGCCCTGAATCTTTTAGAGATGCCAAAGGCAAGCATAGATACATAGAGATAGACATCTGTGCACAAAACAGCATGCGCGGTGTAAGCCAGAACGCTGAAATTCACTTCTAAAGCCAGTCATGGCAGTCAATATAATACATGCCATATTTTATCATCTATTTTCCAACACTGCATCAGTGGATTGAAGCAGTTCCTAATGTACAAGTACCCGACAGGGAGAAATATTTGTTAACATTTGCATTTATGCAGCAAAAAATCAAGCTGATGCAAAGCAAAACTGCATAAACAAAGGAGTTCTTTAGGTGAAAGGAAGAAAGAACAAAAATCAGAGATATGAAAAACAATTGGTTGTGTATGAAAGAAATGAAGAAAACACTAGTCTGTTATGTACAGGCCATGGAAAGGGGCTAAGGGCAGTCATTCAGGGAGGTATGTGAATCCTACTGGTTACTTTAGTTGTTGAAAATAATAATCAGAAAAACTTTAACTCTTCTTTTTCCTCCAACAGCTCTCTCATCTGTGCTATTTCTCAGAGTAAATTGTTTGGTAATTATGGATTTCTATTAGAAAAAGCAGAAGCTTTCTCAGTGAAGTCAGTAAGAGCTGGAGCTGGATATGGCTTTTGTTCTGCAGGAACTGTAGCTCCTTTCTTACATCCCCAACAGACATGTGTTGGAAGTTTACATCTCTGAATATCTTTAGTCTAGCTATTGCTGAGTAGGTTGTTTTTAATAACTTTGCATGTAGTGTCCTCGTCCAACCTTCGTTAATAAATCCACTGTGATGAGCAGCATAGATTAATGTCTGGCTTAAATTACATAACATCCAGGCATCGTGACATAGCGAGCAGATAAGGGCATGATTAATTGGTTTTAATACTGTGAATATACCTACGTGATTATCTTTCAAGTTTTGGGTTTTTTTTTTTTGTTTTATTTTAAAAAGGATGCTTTTCCTGTATGCAGATAACATGAAGAGGAAATCATCTGAGGACAGTCCTTCCAGGTGTTGTTGGCACGCCAGCTCGATTTTCTTCCCTGCAGACAATGCATGGCAGGGGCAGGGTAGGTCTCTTTGCTCATTTTCTATTGAAAGACGAGTGTACTAATGCTGATACCCTTTTCAGTTTGTTTTCTAAGCCTCAAAAATCAAGGTCCACTTCCCATGTGGCACAAGGCTGACTGAGGTAAGGGAGAAATTCAGTTTGGGTCTAGTTTTGGGCAGGCACCCAAAGCTGCTGCAAGCTCGATCAGAGCAGCAGGTGCCCTGTGTGGGATCCTTGAGAAGGGTGAGAACATGCAATTTATTTGTTCTTTTACTTAGAAGGTGACAAAAAATGGATGCAGTAGGTGCATCTTGTTCAGTGCATACATACTGCTGTGCAAAGTGTTAGTAGAGCTTCTGGGCAGCAGGGTCAGTTGTAGGGGGGCTCCTGTAGCCCAGTGTCCTCTCTCCAGCAGTTGCACATCACAGCTGCTGGCAGATAAGAACAGAAAATGGTAAGCACAGGGCAGTCCCCCTCATGTCCCTCCCCACACCCAGCAGAGAGGGGGTCAGGGACTTCCTGAGCCAAAGGCAACAATACGGGCTCTGTGCTTCAAAAAAAAAAACCCCAAGAAACCCAACAAAAAAGCGCACATGTTAGCAATCATCTCAGATTACTAAATTTGCAAAACAAATTCAAAGTTTGGTTTGGTTTTCATAACTGAAGCATTGTGCTACCCTCCATCCCAACATTGGGTGGGGAAGGTGTAGCTGAGTGGCCCCTTTCCAGGCAGTCCCCAGCCCAGGCTTGGTGGGGTGGTCGGGGAAGAGTCGCGGGGAGGGCAGAGCACTGCTAGAGTATGAGGTACCTTTGCCAGAACTTAAAACTTCCCCTGTCAATACCCAGAACCCAGATTCAGGATCCAACTCCAGCGGACTGTGGTAATCAAGATTTCAGTCTTATGACTGATAGGTTTTTTTTGTTTTTTTTTTTTAACTTTTCAAATCTGCTTGAAAGGCCAGCGTGGGTCCTGAGTGGCTGGAATAATTTGGCATGAACAGTGTGGGTATTAGATGGCCTTTTCTCTTGACCTTTTGGTCAGGATTGAGTGAAGTATCTATTTATACCCCTGTTGTTGGGAAGCCTTACCCTGTTCATGCAGGAATGATGGCTGACCAGCCGAGCAGACCCCTTCTTGCTCTAGCTGCTCTGATTGCCCTAATTACAGGAGAACCCAGCATGGCTGAACACACTGGGGAGAAAAGACTGCGGTCATCTTGCTTCTCTACCCAGCGGTAACTGAGACTCTGCAGCAGGCACATCAGCTTGGCCATCAGAGGATTTTATAAATAGCATAGTTTGCTTTAAAAAAAAGAATAAAATAAAAAAAACCCAAACCGCAAGCATTCCCTCCCCTTAGTGCTCTGGTTTTTTACCTCCACGTTGCTGCTGGTGAGCAACCAGCCCTTTGGGACTTCTGAGCCCAGACTCACCCGCGTGGGACGGAGGAAGGCAACGTAGGTAGCTCTTCAGCAGCGTTCCCTCACGTTGCATTTAGCACGTCACGCTTGGCACGCTCTGGATTTGATCTGCAGTTGCAAAGCCGGGCAGAGCTCTGCTTTTTCGGTGCCATGTCTGTCTGAGAGCAGAACAGATAGGAGCAAATTCAGCAGCTTACTCTTGCAAATGTCGGAGCCGAAGCATTTTGATTGAAAGCAGAAACAGAAGGATTTCTGCCCGCCTTACAGCTTGCTTCTTAGTAGTAGTAGTTTTTTTTCCTTTGAATCACCGGCCTTGACAGTGATGCAGAGGGAAGCGTCTCGAACATGTATTCCCTGAGTTGCGATGAGGTAATGGTTGGCATTGCGGTCTGTGCTGCAGGCAAAAGGAGCTCTTTGACAGTTAGACAAGGCCTGTTAGCTCTTGCAGGCCTGTGAACTAAAAAAAAAAAATGCCATTCATAACCTGAATATGAGCTGGGGTCATTTTATCAAATCCAGATCAGTACATTTAATGAGTGTCTTTGTTCTGTGCTGGGCTGGGACAGAAGGAGTTGGATTCTGGACTCCTGCCTCTGCCCCGGCTCACGGAGCAGCCTTGGCTGGCTCCCCGCACCACGTTGGGTTATCTTTTTGTGAAGTACCAGTAATAACAACAGCCTAACTCACAAAAGGTTTGAGGCTTAGGTGTTGTCGCAACTGAAAACTTATACACATAGAGGGGGAGAGGGAGTTCGTAGTTGGGGAACTGAGCGGTCACTGTGATAAGAGAGTGTTTAAAAGACTGATAAATCAAGCTGATTTCAAAACAACACACTGCTGGGTAGATATTCATTAATGACACAAGTTGCTGATGGTTAATTCTTAATTACTGCCACATCTGGAGTGCTGTGCCCATTTCTGGGCTCCCCAGTAGGAGATGGGCATGGACGTACTGGAGCAGGTCCAGCAGAGTCCATCTGTGTATATGAACATCTGATGCGGTGGTTGGCTCTGGTCTGCACAATGAGTGGACAAGAGGCAATGGGCATGAAGTGAAGTACAGGAAATTCCATGTATATATAAGAAAAAGATTTATTTTTTTTTTTTTTTATGGTGAGGGTGGTCAGGCAGCAGAACAGATTGCCCAGATAGGCTGCAGAGTCTCCATCCTTGGAGATATTCAAAACCCACTGAGCAGCCTGCTGTGTGCAGCAGCATGGGATTAGATGATCTCCAGAGGCCCCTTCCAACCTCAGAGATTCTGTAATCCTCATGCTGCCATCAGTCATTGTCTCTGCATATTCAAACAATTCATCCTTAGCAATCTCAGCCTTCATTAGCTAGGGGTATTCAGCATCTCGGAGCTGAAGCCACGTGGTTAGCACTGGTGGCTGCAGTCCCTCGTGAAGGAAGGGGGCTCCAGAGTGGGCATTCTTCTTTAATCCTCATTTTTCCCTGCTGACTGTTACTGTTTGCAGGCTTTTCAGCCCTGCCACAAAGAGAAAATCTCTGGTGCTTCTGGCATAGTTCCCTTTACTTTTGGGCCCAGGAGCTGCTCTGGTTTTGCCAGGCAACTTTCTCATGTGTTCTGCAGGGTTGTTCTTGGCCCACCAGACATCTGCCTGCTCTGCCACCTGTGCTCTACCTTGATGGCTTTACTGCTTGCACGTGTTTCCCAATACTGCCTTTGTGCAACTACACCACGTGTGCCACTGCCCCTTTGGTGACCGTTTATGTACTTGTGCTGAGCTGTCTCACAAAACACACTATAGGCTGTGGCTGGTTTTGCTGTTACAAAATGTGTAACGTGGACAGTTGGCTGTTTTAGAGCACTTGTGCCTGGTTCCCAGGCAAGAAAATACATATTTTATGCCATGCATCTGCTCCCAAGCGCAGTGGGCTTGTGCTCTGGTGTCAGTCTCAGAAGACCCATGTTTTGCTTTGCAAACGCAGCGTGTCTCATGACCACGAGGGCTGTCTTTTTACCTGTGACTTGGCATCTTCACAATGAATCCTTCTTAATTGCCAAGGCAGATTTTCCCTTGGAACCTTCAGAAAGCTCTCATGTCTCCTGACTCTATCCTTCCGTCTGTCCTGGGGTTAAAATGAATTTTAATTCCTTTGTTTCATGGGAATAAGCAGCTTCTTTGTCTTAAAAGAAGTCTTCAGTCTGGGATTTATTTTATATTTTTGCATCTACTGAATTATGCTAGAGGAAGGTGCCAAATGAGGAACTCCTACACCCTGCTGTTGGTAGCAGTAATTTTGACCTGTAACACATAAATGCAAGCTTTAGACTGGAAATTGTCTATCTATTTGCACTAAATAGATTCCGCTTGGTCTACAATTGAGGGCTCAGCAAGGATTTGGGTTAGGACCGTGCTCATTTCACCTGCCCTTTGCAAAGGGAAGGGTTCTCCGCCAGCCACAGAAGGACTCAGCACCATAGACAATACGCAGTCCATTGAGGATTTTGCCCTGCCAGGTGAAGGGCTGCTCTCCCTTTGGTTTCTGCTGACCATATTCGGGGAGAGCAGGACACAGAGGGATGCTGATAGCATGGGATCCAGACCTACAATACTGGACTAGAAATTTTTTAATCCCCTTCAGCGACACTGACTTATTTTTGCTGCAGCACTTTCCAGCTTTGTTTTCCAGGCCAGATAATTAGATTCAGCCTGCAGCATACTCTACTCGACCCTCTCTATGAGCTGCCATAGGGAACCAGGGACAGCTAATTGTCCCCTTTGACCAGACCCTGCTGCTCTGGGGTCCTGTTTGCCTGCTCGCCAACACCTCCCTGGCATTGCTGAGGCAGCTGAAGACAAAGGGTATTTTGGGTGATCGGTGCTGGGATGGACTTTCTGCCTGCAGAATTGCTGGCATCCTCCCTGATTTCTGAAGACAGCTTCAAAATACTGCCCTTCAGGATCTTAAAGTGTCTTCATTACATGGAGTGTGTGGAAATCATCTCGGCCCTGAAATGCACGTTGCAAATGGGATGTGGTTGCTGTAGCAGGGAACAGAAAAGTACAGCTTTGTCTAGGTGGAGCTGCTGGGGGACTGAGGTGCGTTGCATGCAAGAATCTACTTGGAAAGTGGCATTTA